AAAACAGGACTGAAAAATAGGTACAGTGTGTGTGAGGGGGTACTAGTGGGAGGAGGGAGTGTGAATGAAGGAGACTAAGGTGAGGGTGTATGGTTGATGGACTTCATATACTTATATGAAATAGAACAAAGAAACCTCTTGCAATTGCTTTAAGTGAGGCAGGGAGGGAGTTGAGGGGGAGAGAAGATGGGGGTGATCTAACTAATGTAACAATATAAGCTTAATCGGAATTGTCACTTTGAACCCCCTATATAATGAATATATCCTAATAAAAATTTTTGTAATAAAAAATAATGGCAGATAACTTTGGGTTTATGTGTTAATATTATTTGGCTGGCATTAGATTCTTGGGATTCTATACCCTCAACTGATGAGAAAAAAACACATTGAGGACCAGGGATGTCTACCTTGAATCCAATCAGGAGGAACATTTGTATACCCAGGGCGTTGCACAGTATGCTGGGTACTGGTGATATAACAGTGCTCATGACAAATTGAACAATGAACTCACAAGTCCTACAGAGTGAGAATGATTGCTGGGTCGTTTCTTCTTTTATACTTTTCTTTCTTGCCCCTACTTCTATTCAAAATTCTTCCCCTCACTGAGTTGTTGTCAGATGTTTATGCTATGGTTTCAGTGTGTATTAAATTTCATGTGTTGGGAACTTGGTCCCTCAATGTAGCACTTCTAGGAGGTGGGATCTTTAGGGGGTAATTTGGTCACGTGGGCTCTGTCTTCATAAATGGATCACTTCATTCATGGATCAATGGGTCACCATGGAATGGCTCTGTTATAGAAGTGAATTCTTTCTCACATGCTTGCTGTGTCTCTACCTTGTAATATCCTCTATCTTGTGCTGATGTTGCCAGAAAGCCCTAAACGGAAACTGAGCAGATGGGGGCGCCATGTTCCTGGACCTCCCAGACTCCAGAACCATGATCCAAATAAACTTCTATTCTTTAAAATTACACAATGGGCTTCTATTCAGCCTTAAAGAGTGAAATTGTGTTGTTTGCAGGTAAATGAATAGAACTGAAGGACGTCATATTAAACAAAGTAAACCAGGCTCAAAAAGTCAAAGGTTGCATGTTTTCTCTCATATGTGGAAGCTGGACTTATATAGAGAGATACATATATGCTCATATATTATGTGTGTACATACATGTATATATATATACACACACATATGTCTGTGTAGTGAGAGAGAAAACACAAGTCTGTCTGAGAGGACAATGGGAGGTTGAGGGAAAGAAAATGTTGAAGAAATATTGAAGCAGCCCATCTATATATGAATATAACATAATGCACTTTAAGTTGTTGAATATAGGGGAATCTGGTGATAAAGAGTAAGTGACAAGAGGGAGGGATAATTTGATTAAGACATGACATACACAGGCCTGAAGTACTAAGGTAAACTCCCCCCCAAACCATCAATGTATACTTTAAAAAATGAAGGGCAGGAGGGTAAAATAGGTCTTTTGTAGGAGTGTGTAGCAGTGGGAGGGATGGGCATATGGAAAGGGTAATGAGTGCGAGTATGGTGAATACTGTAGCAATATATGAAAACAGAAGAATACCCTATCTTTCTACCGTTCTATTTTATTCATTTAGGGCAGAAACTGCCCCATGTGCCTCAAGTCTGTCCCTTCACCAGGAATGTTCTTAACTCCCAGGCTGTGACCTGGCTGTCTCTGACAGGGCTCTCAGGTCTGTCCTTGTGACATCTCAGAGAGGTTTTCCCTGACCTCACTGTCCTGTCACTGCAGTGTCCTCAGTATCTGCGCCCACCCACAATGGTGGGCTCACCAAATTTGGTTCTAGGCAGAACTAAATCTCCAGAGGCAAACACCACCAACACAGTAGTCCCGAAAGCCTGAGCTATAAGGTCAAAAATCCAACCCCCTTCGCTTTCTTAAATGCATGCTGTTTGTGATTCCTTCACAATGGCTCCTTCTGAGTTCAGAGCAAGACATGGCCCAATCATCCTGGGCCACACCCACAGTGGTGGTGGTCTCACTTTTTGGCCTCCACGCCCTTCCCCACTTTCATAAAAGGAGAACTGCAAAAGTTGTTTGTTCAATGGAAGGTTGATGTTTAGGTTTTTAGAAATTAAAACTTGTAGGATGCTTCAATGTCCTTTTAGTTTCTGCTTTGAGAATCTATAATGTCTTCTTTTTTAAAACCACTTGAAGTCTTTGCACAGTGCAGATTACTCTTTGTTTAAAGTCTATATGCAATATATGCATTTTTCTTTACATTGACTGGTCTCAAAGTGACAGTAAAAGTTACCTGACACTGTAAGATAGCAATGTCCTCTTTCTAAAATACAGTAAGGTACGTTTCATCTTAATTTCCCCAGAAGAATTTGATTTCTGTTCAAAAACCAAAAGGCCAGCAGGAAATGTGGGAATTGGTCCCAGGATGATTTTCTTCACTAGGGCCCAAGGGCAGTGAGAACTTCAGGAGAGCTTCCTGGATGTCCGTGTGGCCATGAGGTTACCATCCAGGCTCTAATGGCCACATGTAGTGACAGTGTACATGGTGTGATACAAGTGGATGAGACCCAGAGCCCTCTACATATCCGCGAGATAAAGGGGAGACCTATGAGGCCAGGAGAGCGCATGGGGAGGCTCAGGATGGAGCCTGTTCACCAGCCCCCAGGCCTCATCAGAATCACTTTCTAGCTGTCAGTGTTGAACTTACATTGGAGGCAATTGGAGAGGTCATGGGTCCAGTCCTAGCCCCACTTTTGAGGGGCTTGTGGCCTCATGGAGGATGGACACGATATTGCACGCCAGAGAGAGGCAGGAGCAGAAGCGCCAGTGCCCACAGTGCTTCAAGTTTGGAGTAGACACCAGAGAACACAGAGAACCACAGAGCAATTATAGAAAGTCCTCATGTGCAAAAAATCTGAATCTCAAATGTGGAGGGTCACTGAGGCCTAGATTGGAAACTCAGATTTTGTGGACTCACACAGGACAGGAGGCTCCTTTTGCCCTCTCCCCTGTTCAGGTGCAAAACTGGCAATTTCTGAATTGGTCTTGCACCTGGGGTTTGAGCCTAACTTATCAGGAGTGTCTCAGCGGAGGTGGCAGGTGGGGTGGTCACCTGTTGCTGAGTCTTTGCCAGCCCCACCTCCAGTCCTGATCTCCCAGGCCTAGCTGACAATCGCTCTGAGCTCCCCCTTTGTTACCTCATTTAGGACAGCAACTGGTGCCCTGTAGTGTCTCAACACCCTTCACCAGGGCTGTTCTCATGTCCCAGAACCTGGCCTGGTGGCCTCTGAGAGAACTGAGAAGGCCTGAGTTCCTCTGTGACATCTCAGAGGTCTGTCCTGACCTTGCTGTCCTCCCTGAAGTGTCCTCAGTGTCCCCCATCAAAAGGCATTCTGAGGACCACAGAAACACTACTTCTCAGGTTCACAGGGCTTCATTATGCTAGTTTAGTGGCTTTCTGGGCAGCATTAGGACAGGTGATAGCACCTAACGTTCACACAGGTCCTGCTTAATGTGACTCCGCTCCTGTCTAAGTTCACGCACAGGGCTTCCATTTCTACAGCCTCAGCCTAGTCCCTTCCAAAGCACTTGCAATCATCTTTTGCCCATGAGGTGACCTTGAAAGTCCCTTTTTGACAAACTCCTAGTACTACATCACTACCTTCTGTTCAATTCCAGATGCAAAATAGAGGAGCATATGAGATTATTTTTTTCAGAGCATGAATTTATGAGTGGATTTGCAATTTGCGAGAAACAGAAGCTTATTAGGAATCATGGGTGGGAAGAAAAGGAAAAGCAGGGCAGGAGAAGTTTTTAGGAAAGTTGAGGTAGGGCTGAGTGGCTTCTGTTCTCCAGGCAGTTTGAGCGACTTTCAGATTATCGCACTTCACAGGCAGCTTTGGAAAGCCAGCGTGCGATGGTTTATGGTTGCCCTACTGACTGGAACCCTGCCATGTGGAGGAACCCAGGGCAGGTTGCAGGTCCTACCTGCAGCTGTTTGATCTTCCACACCTTGACATCAGTAACTACTTGAAAAAGGGAGACACAAGAAAGACTGTAAGTGACTGAACTGTACAGGACTTTGTGCTCTTGACTTTGGTCACCCTGCTGTGCAGTAGACCTCCAAGCTGATTTGACTGACTCCCCCTTCCTGTGCCCCCTCCTTCTCCAGCTCTGGTAACCATCTTTCCACTCTACTTCCCCTGGACATTTTCAGATTGCACCATGGAAGTGGAGTCTAGGAGGGGTTGACTTTCTGACTTGCCAGATAAGTTAAGCAGCATGATTTAGTCATCCCACCGTGATACAGATATATAGCTGATCACGGCATTGCAGTCCAGAAATGTGCACAATTATTTGTCAATTGAAAGGACGTAACTAAAAGCATAGATAAAAATGAAAAGTAGAGTAAATCTCAAGTACATCACTTACTGGGTTTCTTGGCACCACTTTGTTTCTGGGACTTTTCTTTTGGGCTGAAACGCAACAGCACGTTTTCAAAAAACAGTTGATGATCCTCTGGCTTACTGCCTTCCAACTCCATTGCTTGGTGACAGAAGGTAGGATCCAAACAGCGGGGTGATCTCTGCCTAGGGGTCTCTGTGTGCCACAGACAGAGGATTGGTCCACACTATGGAGTTCCTGCTTTCCTTTGACAGTCACATGGAGGGACGAGATGCTGCTCTCGATTTGCCATCTGCTGCCAGGATGGAGGGAAGAGAGGACAACCTCAGGATCCTGCGGGACTTCTATGCGGGGAGTCGGGCTCCACCTCTGAAACATGAGGTGGGTCATGGTAGTCGGGGTGATTAGTTGGTGGCTCAGGTGAACTGATTGCGAGTAGCCCAGTAACTGTTGGCCAGGAGGCAAGCAGGGCATGGGGCGGAGGGCAGGCGCACTAGCACTCCTCTTTGGAGCAGGAGGAAAGGTGGAAGGAAGTGTGGGCGATGGGCAAGACATCGGCCTCCAAGGCACTAGCTTAAGTAGACCTGTGCCAGTGATACAAAGCCCCTGGCACTTCTGACGCTGGAGCATCAGGTAGATACATAAGGCCTCATCGAACCGCCTGCGAAGCAGAGAGTCCTGTATCTGACTGGGGTCGAAACCCATCTCTGTCATTGCCAGCATGATGTTGGGGTCCAGGTGGCTGGGTAGGGTCTTGCTGGAATGAATTGGTGGGGGCTTTTCTGCTGCTTCGGTAAGCCAAGGGTGACACAACACCTGCTCCATCGTGGGCCTCCGCCAGGGGATATAGTTTAACAAAGAATAGATAAGATTTCGTCCCGAAGTCGAGAGGTAGTAGGGGAGGCTGATTTTTCCTTTTAGGATCTGTGGCTTCAGCTGCCAATAGGTGGTACCATGAAATGGAAACTCCGCAGTGAGCATGAAGTATAGGGTGACCCCCAGGGTCCAGGCGTCCGCCTTGGGGCCATCGTATGGTTGGCACAGGTAAAACTCTGGACCCCGAAATGCTAACACGCCACATCCCTGTTTCAGTTTCTGGCCAGGTAAGAACCAGGTGGCCAGGCCAAAATCAGCTATCTTCACATTGCCGGCTTGGTCCAGAAGAATGTTATCGGGTTTCAGATCCCTATGCACTATGCCCCTCTGGTGACAGTAACACAACGCAGATGCCACCTGCCCAAACAGCCTCCTGGCCTCCTCCTCCTGCAGGCGGCCCGAGTGCTCTATTTTGTCCCACAGCGTCCCGCTCTTGGCATGCTCCAGCACCAGGTAGATGTAGTCCTCAGACTCGATGACCTGAAACAACTGGATCACATGAGGGTGGTCCAGCATCCTCAACACATTCACCTCCGATGCAATCAGGGAGTTATACTCACCCCTCTTCATTTCCTTCACCGCCACGTCCACCCCAGTGAGGCGGTGGTAGGCAAGTCTCACCTTGCTAAAGGCACCCTGGCCCAGCCTCCCCATCAGCATGTACTGAGTTCTGAGGGCCTCTTCCCCAGAAGAGCTAGCCTCATTGTCATGTTTGTCTAGTTCCTGAGTACGGTCTATACTCATCCTAGACACAACACTAATGATGCTATCTAAGAATAAGGGGGTCACGGGGAACATACTTTAAAAGAGAAAAGTGAAAAAAATCCAAATTTGGTTCTGGACAGAACCAAATTCCAGAAGCAAACACCGCCAACATGGTAGTCCTGGTAGTACTGAAAGCCTGAGCTATAAGGTCAAAAATCCAGCTCCTCTCGCTTTCTTAAATGCATGCTGTTTGTGATTCCTTCACAATGGCTCCTTCTGAGTTCAGAGCAAGACATGGCCCAATCATCCTGGGCCACACCCACAGTGGTGGTGGTCTCACTTTTTGACCTCCACGCCCTTCCCCACTTTCATAAAAGGAGGACTGCAAAAGTTGTTTGTTCATGGAAGGTTGATGTTTAGGTTTTTAGAAATTAAAACTTGTAGGATGCTTCAATGTCCTTTTAGTTTCTGCTTTGAGAATCTATAATGTCTTCTTTTTTAAAACCACTTGAAGTCTTTGCACAGTGCAGATTACTCTTTGTTTAAAGTCTATATGCAATATATGCATTTTTCTTTACATTGACTGGTCTCAAAGTGACAGTAAAAGTTACCTGACACTGTAAGATAGCAATGTCCTCTTTCTAAAATACAGTAAGGTACGTTTCATCTTAATTTCCCCAGAAGAATTTGATTTCTGTTCAAAAACCAAAAGGCCAGCAGGAAATGTGGGAATTGGTCCCAGGATGATTTTCTTCACTAGGCCCAAGAAGGGCGAAGAGAACATTCAGACGAGGCTTCCTGGATGTCCGTGTGGCCATGAGGTTACCATCCAGGCTCTAATGGCCACATGTAGTGACAGTGTACAGGTGTGATACAAGTGGATGGACCCAGAGCCTCTACAATATCCGCAGAAGAACGAAAAGGGGCACGAGACAGCTATTGAGGCCAGAAGGAAGCGCAGCCGCCTCGAGGAGTCTTTCAGGATGAGCCTGTCTACAACAAGCCCCCAGGACTTCCATCCAGGAATCACTTTCCTAGCTGCTCAGTTGTTTGAACAGCTTAAATTGTGAAGCAATGTGGAGAAAGGTCATGGATGCCCCCCCAGGTCCTCAGCCCCAACTTTTGCAGGCGGGCTTGTTGCTCCCATCGGAGGCCGGTTGATCGACCGGACTATTGCAGGTCCAGGTACGGGCAGGGAGCCGCGAAGAGCGCAGCCCAAGTTTGGCAAACAAGGCTTCAAGTCTTGGAGCTAGACGACCGAGAGCAAACAGCACAGGGCACACCACAGAGGCTATGATCAAGTATAGAAAGGTCCATTCGATGTGCTGAAAAAAAATCTGAGATCTCATAAATATGGCAGGGGGTTCACGTGACGCCTAGCATTGGGGCAAACAGATCAGATTTTGTGGACGTCCACCAGGACAGGAGAGGTCCCTTTCTGCCCTTCCGCCTGTTTACAGTGCACAAACTGTCGGCCAAGTTCTGCGAATTAGGGAGTTCTTGCCACGTGGCGGTTTGAGCCCACCCCCGCGCTAATGGCCTATCAGGGTGTCCTCAGCCGGAGGTGGCAGGGTGGGCCTGTCAGGTTTCACACTGTTGCTGATACTATTGCAGCCCACCGGCTCATCCTGAATAACTCCCAGGACCTAGAGCTCGCACCAATCGGGCTCTGTAGGCTGCACCCCCTTATGTTACCTCATTTCAGGACCAGCAACTGGGTGCCCTTAGTGTTCAAACACCCCCTTCACCATGGGCTGTTCTCATGTCCCAGAACCCTGGCCTGGTGGCCTCAGAGAGACTTGAGAAGCCTGAGTTCCTCCTTGACATTTACTCAGAGGTCTGTCCTGGACCTTGCTTGTCCTCCCCTGAAGTAGTCCTCAGTTCCACCATCAGAAGGCATCTTGAGGACCACCGAAACTACTACTTCTCAGGTTCACAAGAGAGCATTGCATTATGCTAGTTTAGTGGCTTTCTGGCAGCATCTGGGACAGGTCCGCTAGCACTAAAGTTCACACAGGTCCTGTTAAATGTGACCTCCGCTCTAACTCGCTCGTAAGTTCAACGCACAGCGCTTCTTTCCTACGGAGCCTCAGGCCTAGTCCTTCCAAAGTCACTCTGCAATAAATTTTTAGGCCCAGTGAGGGGGACCTTAGAAGAGTCCCTTGTCTTCGGACAAAACTCCTAGCCGTATACTACAATCACTACGCTTTGTTCAATTCCAATGGCATAAAGAAGAGGGCATATGAAGATTCTTTTTTATCATGGCATAGAAATGAAGATTTGCATCGATGGATTTGCAATTGGTGAGAACCAGCAAGCCTTCATTAGGACCAATGAAGGAAGCATTAAACGGCAAGGCAGGGAAGTGCTGCTCTCTCAGAGGTTGAGGTAAGGGGCTGCCCCAAAAAACACCCCACCCACGTCCCAAACCTCACGCGAAGGAAGCGACGCGCAACCCAGGCTCACGCTGACCCAGAGCCGGTCCTAAAGCCCAAGCACGGCCAATAGGAGATAGACACACAAGAAGACGAAATAACACGACAGGAGCCCCGATGAAAGACGTCGCTCTCTGTTTCTCCAGCGCAGTCTTGGAGCACTCGTTCAGTATTATATCGCCACTTCGGGTTGAGAAGCTACGGAACTGAAGTGGACCAGGGGACTCCTGCTCGAGAACTGCCCTGTGAGGAACCGGGCCGTTGCAGAGGTCCTACCTGCAGCTGTTGTGAATATTTCCAGCACTTGACACCGCAGTTAACCTACTGTTGAACAATCTATTCATCGAGGAGACAACAGAAAGACTGTAAGTGGAACTTGAACTGTACAGGGGAGTCCCTGTGCGCTCTTGACTTTTGGTCACCCTGTCTGTGCATAACCTCCAAGCTGATTTGACTGA